CATATACTTAACAATTCAATTTCATTCCTGTAAATATTAATTTAATTATAAAAGTTTGAAAGCGATCATAAAACTATTAATTTTTACATTGGATTATCTTTAAATAAAAGAATCTTATACTTGTGTCCCAAAATTCTATGAATTGGTTTGATATTTTCTGATATATGAAACGCAGAGAGAGAAAAAAAATTATATTAAGGGATACAAACATTTGAATGCTTTCCCATCTAAACTATTGGGAGCTCAGATTATCGTTCCCCATCATCTCATATTTGTAGGCCATTGAAATAATCCATCCATTGAAGAAAAAAAAGGAATGTACATTTGAAGAAAATACATTTTTTTATCTGGTTTCGTAATTTAAAATATCGTCTGCATAAATTGACATATTTAAAGTTTATTCTTTGATTCTTTAAGCTATTGGTTGAAAATTAGATCATTTGTGCAAAAGTTATTCAGTGTGTTCCATTTTTTATTTTTCGCATTGTACAGTAGACAAATTATTTTTGTGTCAATATTAATCTAGTAAGCCAAATAAGTTTTTAGCACAATATTTTTTTAATTAAAAATACCGAAGAACTGTGAAGTTAAAATCTTATTTTATTGTTATTTTAAAGGAATTTTGAATATTTTACTGTTCTTTTAAATGAATTCTGTGGGGTAAGCTATTATACTGCTCTACAAACATCTGTTAAAAAAATATATATGGATTATTACATTAGCTTTTAATTAACTTCTTACTGTGATAAAGGAAAAGGAAAAATTATATTTTTAAAAGCGGATTTTGAATTTATAAAGTATAGAGTTCTAGAAACTTTTAATTTGATTGAGCTCTGTTCGAAAAACCAAAAATCACTTTCAACGACCAGAGAAATAAAATCCCTCATTGAGCTATTTAAGCATCATATCTATTTTTTCTCTGAGAATTATGCGTTTTGTTTAAGACATTTGTAATGAGAGCCTAATCATGCTTTAAAATTAGTTACTTTAATATACATTTCCTTTATTTTACAACTTTTAGAAAGGAATATACGTCATTTAAAGTAAATCTGAATAATAAATTTCAATTTATTACGTTAAAAAAAATTGAAATAAGCATAAAAATTGCTGAAATAAAATTGAAAAACTTTCATGATAAATCTAGGTTTACGTTAATGTATAATTAATTTTAAGAAAGGCTTTATTTGAATAAATATAGATCTCATGCCATAATTCTTAGACAAATCAAATACCAGAATATCTATTTTTAAATTCATTTAGGGAATAATCTCATTATTAATAAATAATTCAAGAGTAATTTTACTACATATTTCGTTGCTTTCCCCTTGAAAATGAGAAGCATTAATAAATAATTCAAATATGAAATTTCAGAAATAAAATATTTAAAAAAAGGGGAGGAAGAACATTTAAAATCACTGTACATGAATTGCTGCAATAACTGCAAACCCAATTTAACCATTGTAATTACGATGAAGTTAAAAAGTAAAAGCTTATGAAGTTTTCTGAAATTAAATATTTGATAAAAATCTAAATATAAATTAATATAATTTTACCAAACTCAGTGTTATCTAATCTTAAAAAAGGGACTCTCTTCTTCGCATGGGTTCATAAAAAATTCTGAAAATAAAAATGTGAACTTAAATTAATTGAATATTGCAAAAAATAATTTCAATCTTAACTTGAAATAATGTGGCCTCTAATATGTTCAGGTGCTTTTTGAAGAAAAAAAATTATGTTCAAAGTATATTTTTAAATTTTATAATAACTGTAGTAAAATTACAAATTTTAAAGTTATACTTTAAAACATTAGTGCGATAAATATTTGAGATGAATAACCAAGAATTATCAACGAAGGACTTTTTTTCTATCGTACGTATTGTTTACAATTGTAAAACTGAAAAAGAAGGCATCCAAATATCAATTCAGACCTCTTCTTGAAGCTGATCGTGACATCCCAAAATTTCTGTTATTTCAACTGTGACAAAAAAAAATTAAAAAAATATTTATTTAAATAAAAATAGACACTCATATAGACAATCATAATAACGTTTTCAACTTTAACGTAGCAATGAAAACCAATTATAACGCGTGACGGTTTTTCAAAAATTTGAGCATTCATAAATTTGATTGACGGTTTTTCATAAGTCTCTCGGAAGCAATATTGTTGATAGATAAGAAATTATGCAAGCAATCCGAAGAAAACAAAAAATCCACTATTCTTTCTCTTTAAATATCTTTGAAATTAATAACGAACTAATGTAAGAGAGAGAGAACAAAGGCGTAAGTTTTGTGTAGAGACTATACCATTAGAAATCTATCTTTAATATTTATTCAATATAAAAAATGTTAACTTTTTATTTCATAAAATAATTTGATAATTAAATATTAAATGTCACCTAAAAGTCAAGTCATAATAGTTATTTAAACGAACCATTAAGTAAATTCCGAAAAGACAAATTTTACAATTATTGTTAAAATTATAAGGAAATAATAATGAACTGCTAGGAAGCACCACCCTCTGCTCGCTCCGCTCATCGCTCTCCATAATTGTGATCATTAATAATTTTTTTTAAGATGATATTTATAAAAAAAGTAATTTTTTTTAATTTTTAATATGCAATTATTATAACTTCATGAGAGAACATTTTGCTACGAGGTTAAATGAAATGAAATGAAGAATTACCTGGATTTGAAAAATAATTAGGTGGACTTAAATAAAATTTAAACTTGAAAACACAGAATGTGTGATACAGTAAGAAGAAATAAATGAGAATTAATTTTAATCAGTACAGTTTGGAATTGGTTTTATATCTCTTGAATCAAAACTCTATATTCTTAAAAATTTTACTATAAATATCAGGATCTTGCAACATCTAATCCCCCCTCCCTTTATCTTTCGTTTTGTTACTCATACGAGTAGCATCAAATCAAGTACGAGCTTATAAAGTAAAAATCTCGATAGAGATTTTTAAAAAAAAAATATTACAACAAATGAACGGTTTAAAAAAATGAGAAAAAATTCGCGAAAAAAGTGCTTAAAATTGCAAAAACTCTTAAAAAAATTCGCTAATAAGAACGGCTATTTATCTTGCGGTATTAGCACAGCAAAATTAAAAGTAGTGTAAAGTTAAATATCTCAAACAGTGGCGTCTGTGGCCGCATTGCTAACAATTTTTTAAAATAAAGAGAAAAAGGGAACTTATAAATGTATATTATATATTAATAGTTTTTCCAAGTTTCAGACTAGCATAAAATTTCTGGAGAAAGTAAATAAATGTATTGCTTTACAAAATCAATCTGATTTATTAAAAAGAATAAAATCATTGATGTGTTACTACTTTAACCACATTATCTAAAAAGTTCAATATGGATAGGTCCACAGTAGCCTCATCACCATATGTTCACAAAGAGTAATTTGCTTGCTCGTTTAAGATTTACTAGTATTGTAGTTTTCATTGGTAAATTAAAAAATTGCATATCAATAAATTATGTAATAGTGATTCATGAATGACATGATATTCATGAATCCTTTTTCAATACTAATAGTCTAAAGAGCAAAATAAGAATTAACTTTCTTTTACATTTAATGATTTACTAATGATAAATTGGTTAGTTGTCATGCAAGTGTAGTGGAAAATGTAAAACAGTTTTTCGAACCAGCCAAAAATGTAAGAAACTTTTTCACTGATAAGTAACAAAATCATTTCAGCAGATTGAAATTTAGTTTTTACACTTACTGTAAGTTTTTACTGAAACTTTTTTATAATTATTATTTACTACATAAGAATTTGGTGTACTTTCATGCAACTAATGTGAAAAATAGAAAACAATTTTAAGGATCAACTTAAAATGGAAGAAAATTTATAACTGATAAGTAACAGAATTAGTTCAGCAAAGTAAGAATATAACTATCCACTATAAAAATGTTTTTATTTTTAATATTATACTACTTAACAATTAAGTGCTTATTATGCAGCTACAAATAAAGTGTAAAATAATTTTCTAAATCAGACAGAAACGTAAGAAAATTTTTCCCAGATAAGTAACAGAATTATGTCACTAAATGAGGCATAAACTTTTCCTGCATAAAAATGTTTATTTTTAATTATTATTATTATTATTTACTGCATAAGAATTTGGTGTATTGTCATGCAACTACAGTGAAAAATGCAAAACAGTTGATTAAATATAAAACACTTTTACAGATCAGCTTAAAATGAAAAAATTTATCTCTCATAAGTAACAGAATTATTTCAGAAAAGTAAGAATAAACTTTTCCTCTGTAAAAAAGCTTTTTTTTTTTTTCTTTTTTTTTTAATTTTACTACTTAATAATTGGGTTTTTATCATAAAACTGTAAATAAAATGTAAAGCAGTTTCGTAAATCAGTCAAATGTGTAAGAAAAATTTTCTCTGATGATAACTAACAGAATTATTTTACCAAATTAATTATAAACTTTTCCAATATGAAAAGCTATTTTAGTTACTTTGGGTTTTTTTAAAAATAATTTACTACTTAATAGTTAAGTGCATTATCAAGAAACTACAAATAAATATGTAAATCTAGTTTAGTAAATCAGCAAAAATGTAAGAAAATTTTTCACTGATAAGTAACAGAAATATTCCATCATTTGCCACGTGTCCACAATAGACACGTGGCAAATGATGGTATTATCCTCCCTCTTTGCAATTTATTACCTTTTAAATTAATAACAAAGCCACGAAATTAGAAATTTTGAATAAAAGATGATCCAGTAATCTTGTAAAGCTTAAGAGGTGAGTGACCAATCACTCCAATTATTCTGTACAAGTGATTGGTCACTCACTCCCTTTAGCTCGAAAAAAATTAGCTCTCTAAGCGTTTAAATTATCGCTTCACTTATTGCTCAATTTATGGGTCAAAAAGAAGTAAAGAGTACTCTCGATTATCTTCCGCAGATACTTGCAGATGATGGTGATGATGATCCAAAAGAATGACAGGCCAGGAGGGGGATCTTAAGGAGGGGATGGAAGAACTTGGGGAGGAACTCGGGGATCTCCTCACCTGAGCAAGAGAAAAAGCGAGCGTGGGACGGTGCGGCGGTCTGACCGCGTTATCCGTGGGCGTATTAAGTCCCACAAAATACTCAATTCGGCCGAAAAAGCGCGCACTCTTGTTTCCTCCCAGCGCACACAACATGCAAGCTGAAATAAGGATTCTTTTAACGGTAAGTTATTAATTGTTCGATTCTATTTAATTATTGTTATTTTAGAAATTCTTAATATTTGTTAGAAAAAAGCTTTTTTAAAAATGAATATAACGATTTATGCTTATATTTTCATTTTATATTGTTTTATTACTTGTAATGACAGCACTTTTAGCTCTCTTTTAAAGGATAATAAAAAAAAAATTACGTTTTTTAAAAATAGCACTCTTAGCTCTCTTTAAAATAACGAAAAAAAATCATGTTTTTATTTTAAAAATTTAGACCTAATTTTGACATACCCCCTACTTCAATTATTGAACCTCACTGATGAATGTTACTTTCAATATGATCAATTTTATCTCAGAAACTAAAAATTCAACTTCGCGAAATTTGACTTCGCGTCTATATTTTTACGATAATTAACTCTAATTTGTTTTCAAGGTACTAAAAATTTAATTTTCAATTCTGATGATTTTTTTTTTAAAGAAAGAAGTAGACATGTGCTATTTTACAGTTGGAATTCTGTCAATTTTTTAAATGCCGCTATCAAAAAATATTGTAGACAAATTGTAAATTAGATAGTTTTAATAAAATGAAAAATTTTAGTTTTAATAAAATATGAGTTTGACATTTTCAGTTATATCAAAAATTGAAAACAAAACAAAAATATTAGAAATAAAAATTAGAAGAAGCATCCCATTTTTAAAAGTTTCTGAATTTTAACTTTTTTAAATGGTTTATAAATGATTTTGAGCAATTTTGCATGCGTTTTAAATAGTAATACAAAAAAAGAAGAGGAAGAAAAAATCTAAAATGAATATACGTATAAACGCATTTTTGAAAAAGTTTCAACTGTGATTAAAATGATGAAAACCTTAACACGATGTAGAGTATTTTATTATTAAAATCCCTTCATATGCAGTAAATCTACGATTGCATAAAATTGATTCTAGCGAAGTTTAATTTAAAAGAATGCGATATTATGAAAATATATTTATATTTGTGCTTTAAGCAAAATTATTTTGATTGATTTTTACTCATTTACGTAAACTGTAAGTGAATAAACAATTTAATTAAAAAAACTACATATCTTCATATTTTCACTTGTACAAATATATTCCAAAATAGATTAAAATTATTTATTTTTTAAGAAACTACTTTTTAGATAAAATTTTTAACGTAACATAAGGAGTCTTTCAATTCAGGTTCAACATAAACAGGTTTAAGTAAAAAAATTAATATAATTAATAATAATAATTAATAAAAATAAAATCGCTAGAGAAAAATAAAAGTTTCGAAAGCTAGAAAAAAGCAAATTTTGTTAAGAAACATTTTTGAGAGGCAAGGAAATTTATGATGATTTTCTAATTAATTTTAACAATTATAATCATAAACGTATTTACGTAAAAAAATTAATTTTATAGTCAAAGAAGATAATTAAGTTCTGTTTTATTTCTTGATAAATAAAACCGTGAACGAAAAATATCAGTTTCAAAAATTGGAAATAATAATACTGTACTAATAATAATAAAAGAAAAATAGAAAAAACGAATAAATTTTTAAATATTTTTACTTTAGTTTATTAATTATAAAGCTCATAAAAAAACGCTTTTCGGTAGAGCATTAAACATGTTAAAATAAAAAAATATTTCCGCAAACTTTGCTTTAATTTTGTTTAATTTATTTAAAGAATTACAATGCTTCATATGAATTTTTAATCATTTTCAAGTAACAAACAATTTTTTAAATTTTCCCTACATACAAAAGATCAATCACTATGCTGGAGTAAAAGAGAGTTCAAGCATTATACTTTACGGAGTGACAAGAAATTACTTAGACACATAAAAAGCTAGTATTTTAATGCTTATTAAAATATAACCGCAAAAATTCCAAATAGGTAGTGAATCAATACATATTTATAAATATATAACGCAATATTTTTACAATTCACATTATTTGTACCATGTGAACAAATTTTCAAAAACTTAAGGCAAACCTTAATGCATAGCCATAACCATGCTACAAAAGTTTCTGCCAAAGACCGCAACTGACCAACAGGCACTTAGCCTTATTCCTAAGACAGACAATTTTCATGGATGCCCCTTACTAAGTTTAGCGCAAATCATTGACTCTAAGACGAACCAAATGGAAGTAATCATTGAATTGAAGTCTGGTTAATAAGGTGGCCTATCTAGTGCTGTGAGAAAGTTAAGAAAATGTGCCTTGCATCATTTTTTAAATGTCTCTAGCTCAGCGCAGTGAAGAAGAATCCTTTTGGTCGAGTATTGGATTTCAAAGGACTTTTTTAATTAATGAATAATAGAATCTTCTTAATGAATGCGCAATATATTATTCCAACAGTACTTGGTGTTATACTTTCTCTAATCTATTTCTTATCAGCCTGTCAATGGCCTCCGTCTAGGTTAATATGAAACGAAAATCTGAACTTCCATTGATATTTTTTACTTGTTCAATATGTGCAAATAAAAGAATTGATAAATAAATAAAATTAAAGAATAAAATAACTACTAAATAAATAAGTGAAAACTATATTCCGTATTTTTATTTCGTCCGTGAATAAAAATCATTGAATAACCTAGTGTTAAACTTGAAGTGTTTAAAAACTATATTTCATATCAGCCTCAACAAAACACTTCTTGAGCTAATGTGAAACACCATAAATTTCTTTAATGACTTTAAGCACTAAAAAAATTTTAAAGCATTTTACAACAAAAAAAATTCCGTTATTGTTTTAGCATAAAAAGTTTTAGCTTATTATTTCCCCCCTAAATCATCTTAAAAAATTACTATAATAAAAGCATATAAATAATTTAAAGTGCGAAAATAAAACCAAAATTATTTATCATGATTAAAATGTCGTTAAGAATATTTTTTAACATTTGAAGGGAAACCTTTTTTATTATTTATATAATTTCTTATAATATGGCGCTTGTTATTTGAAAATAATGCTTCATAACCCCCCAAAACTATCATACATGTAAATTATTTTCACAACCAGAAAAAGTTAAAATACATATTTTCAGAATTAATGCATACTTTTAGAGTCTTTAATACATATTTTTAGAGTCCTTGCCGTGGAGAAAAAAATCTGCACATAAGGGGTTACAAATTATTTCTTAGATTGGAAAAAAGCAAAAACGCTATCGAAATTTAACGAATCGCTACTGAAGATGAAAACTGAAAGCATAAAAGCTTGTTTTGTGGAAATAGAGGGAAGTTGAAAGTCAATTACTAAAAACAACTCCAAGTTTTATCACCCAATTAGTTTTGTTGTTTTCAATTCTATCTTCCTCACTGTGAATTCGGCAGATTTCGATTTTCCTCGCCGTAAGATTATTTTACGACACTTAATTCCTTATTCACTATTAGAATTTTTATTTTAAAATTTCTTGTAAGAGGCAGCAGTCTAATCATCCAATTAACACTAAAGTTTAAGTCAAAAAATATTTCTCTATCTTTACGGTTTTGAAACCATTTATAACTAGTATGTTTACAAAATCATGAATACAAAACTGTATGGTTTTTAATAATTTGCAACTAGCATGATTTTAAAATGGTAAAAAAAATTATCAGGACATTGGAGCTATGCTTTTCGTTAGGGTCACAAATTGAGGAGGGCAAAACATGGGAAACGCTCCATGCACTGAAAGGAATGTATGAAATACTGTGGTATCAACGCTGAGACTCGAACCCTGCTCCGTCCATCCAGAGATTTGCAGATTAGGTCTCTCGGCTATAATATATACACAGATGCAAGGAACATAGTGGCTTCATTAGATGGGTTTAAGATGGTGCGATAAAATTCTGGTTGTTTAACCATATTAGGTGAAAGCAGTTAATAAACAGTTTTCCTCACAGTTCAATACCGTCTTATTTATGCTTATTTGACTGTTCGAATTTGGTCAGAAAACAATTAAATAAATTGTTATTTTACCATTTCCTCCGAGAAATTTCTAACAGTGTGGCAATGCTTTTTGAATTCTTTTAGACAAAAATATTAGTTGAGAGTTTCGATTACGCTGCACTTAGTATAAATAAACTTTTTTTAAATAAAATTTCAGGGTGAGGGAAGATAAGGTTTACTTTTCTCTCAGATAAATTTTTTAGACCGTTTTTTTCATGGATTTAAAGATGGTTAATCGGGTATTAAAAATTGCATTAAAACTTAGATTTCAATATTGTTTCCTTCTTTATGAGACAAAATAAAGCAAATTACCGCAATTTATGTTTCTGCTTCGTTTATCTGTTAATGGAGAAAAAAACTGAATGCCTTAAAAATATAACTGTAAAAAAAAATAATAAATAAATGAAAAAAAATAATAATAAATAAATAAATAAATAAATAAATAAAAAACGTTTTCATATGAGCCTAATGCACTATTTCACCTTTCCTTGTGACTTTGATTTTCTGTAACTTCTTTTGATTTTTAACTGCTTAAACTATACAACAATTCTTTTTGATTAAAGTTTTACAGAATCACGTGCTTAAATGATTGAAATAATGTTGCAAGGCAAGAAATTCTAAGTCTAACGAATATTGTAATAGTTCTATTGATTGATTGACTTTTGTAGAAAAGTTATAGTTTTGTAGTTTTTCACTGTTTGTTTTTGTAGCATTCTTTTATATTTTGTAATGGGCATAGATAGTATCACATATTTCTAATAAAGTAAACATAAATTAAAAATTTTTAATGTAAAAATTGGCAATTTTTTTTATGGTATGCCAGATTAACTCCATTATATTGAGTGTTTCATATTAGTTCCAATTTACCATACCTTAAACACCTTTTTAAAAATGTTTTATCTTCAAAGTGTCCAAAAATGGTACGGTTTTTAAATCTTATTGCAGCAGGAAAAAAGAATTTTTTTAAAATTTTTTCTACCATTGCAAATTTATTTATTAATGTTGATTCAAAAGTATTTCGAGAGCTCTGGACCAACCGTGGCATTTTTGATGCCAAAGATAAATATGGAAGGGAGCAAGACATTCTATTGAGTTT